GTTTTTATTATTATTAATAGTATATAATTCACAGGAGGAAACAACCGAATATCACATTTTGTGTTGGGGGTGGTAGAGAGGGGAAATAGAGAGAGAGAGAAAGAGAGCAATGTCTTCTAATGAAACGACAATGCAAATTTCAAAAAAAAAAAAAGTTTCTTCCTATGATATTCTTAACAACACATAAACTAAATCTCTAAGAAAGAACTGTTTGAGAGAGAAAGTTCCTAACTTTCAACTGTAAAATTCTTTTTTGTCAACAAAACATACAATTTTCAAATAAAACTTCAGGCGACATAATAAAGAGAGTAAGGGCGATGAGCAATGTTATCACAATTCAATTGGAAAATCGATATTTCTTTATTGGTTAATCTCGTTTATGAGATTATGAGAAAGATTCACGAATGACTTATAAGGATATTTCTTTATAATATTCAACAAACAGCTAGATAGAAGATCCAGCTTATTATTGTGGATATTAGCCAACTAAGAGCAAATTTGGATGAGCATGGTTGTCTTGTTCCTTCCTAAAAACAATATTTATTTTTCAATTACAAAAAAAAATAAACTCTGACCTGAGACACATCACCATCTGTACCAAAGCACATAGCTCTTGATCTTTTCGGCCTAGAGTGAAGCTCTCCCACACAAATATCTTCCAAGTTTTTCTCTGATCTATCCTGTTCCCAATTCATTGTAGTCTGCTCATAATTGTATAAAGAAAATATTTCATAAATTTCATCTTACATCTGTATTCTCTAGCTTTGGGCAAGCCACTTCATCATAGCATAAATCAGATTTGTCTTCCTGATTTATCCAAACCATTAAAAGGTTTGTTCCTTCAACGAATGACGCATGCATTTTCCTAGAAAAGGTAGAAGAATCAAAAATCACTATGAATCTATCGAAAGGTTTTGGGGATTATAAAAAATGACTTGTTTATTGTTCTAAATTTGAAAAAAAAAACTTACACTGAGCATTTGGTTGTTGGGCAAGGCTTATCATAACGTCCATTCTCTACAAGACTGCTCGATTTTGGTCTAGTTCGAGGGTTCTAAACGTTTTCATTTAAAAGAGATTCCTGTGTGTGTGTGATAAAACCTTATTGAACAAATAGAAATATGATGATTTCGAACATGGATATCCATCGCTACCATCATGGAAAGACGCAGTGTATGCTGAGAGCGTCAATATAGCGTAAATTTAAAGAATTGTTACGACAAACCTTCTCCTGGAGTAAAGGTTGAACTAAGCAAGGGTACGAATGTTATTTTTTGAACAAACAAAAGGAAATTGTTAATGAATGCCATTATTCCATACAGCAAACTATGCAGAGGCTAGAAAGGAAGTAATAATTGAAAGAACAAGAAACGAACAAAAACCTTCAAGGCCTTAGATGACATGACCACTTTAGGATGATCTTTACATATTGCTTGATGATCAGTATACTTAAACCTAAATAAGCAGAAACATTAATCGAACTAACAACAAGCCGTTCAAAATATATGACTTAGTTAAGAGCTAAGTTTGTCTATCATTGCGTTTCTGAGACTCTAGTGTTTCCTCATTGTCACTGTGCGGTGTCGAACCAGCGACCTGCTGATGATAAGTCGCCGCCGCTACTGGCTGTGCCAACATCACACACTTGGTGGGGATTCTGTATTGGTGTGACGAACCAGAACAGGTATTACAGAGTGTGAGGAAATCACCAGTAGGAAATCACTTCTCTTCTTCTCTTACACTTTATTTCATTATTCAAAAAAATTCAATCAGAACTCTCAGTTATATGTGTTTCGTTGTCTTTTCAGATGAGTTTTTATATGCCCCATAGAGAAACTTACTTGGTATAAAATTTCCTTTCAACTAACAAAGCCATAGCACGTTGTGATACCCGATTAATATTACCAAACCAATGACTGATATGCTTTCCATAACCTATCGGATCCTGTAAGCAAAGAGTTATTTGTTGTGTATGTTTCAAGAGATGAACCCGAAGATAATCTTCATACGAAATATCCTTTTGGTTACTATAGAATACATAACCATGTTCATCCAATAAAAGACACCATTTTCGATCATTCTGCAAAACAAAATAATGTTTGAACATTATTGACAATAAAAACTGACAGATGGGCCACATCCATGTTCACCCATTAGATTGACAACGTTATCATAAGCAAACTCATACCCAGTAACACCTAAAACATGCAGTTGAGAGGAAATTTCATGAACACATTAGTTTACCTAAAACTGCATTTCCTGATCGGACAGCTTTCGTAGCTTGAGCAAGCATGGTTAAGTTCTCATTATTTCCGTAACCAGTCAATTGAGTCTCAGATTTGTACCAGATTTTAGCTGTAAATAGGAAACTCAGGAAAAGAGTGATTGAAACAGTCTTACAGTTGTTACTGACGTCGAATATAATGTCATCAGGCATTCGTACAGATCGTTTATAATAATAATCATCAACAGATTTTCGATGAAGATCCGTGATGAAGTGATTATAAGACCTTAAAGCAAACGTTTAAGATACTCCTTAGGCCCCAAGATATTGTTCTTACTCTTGCACAAGTTCGATCGCAAAAATACGTCCAATATGATCTAATATGCTCCAGTTAGGATCAGAATAGTCATAATCATCTAGAGTTAAGTTATAATATCGAATCATTCCAGATGGGGCCGTGAAAAAGACGAGATGGATCAAATTGCTGAAAAAAAGAACTTTTTTTTGATAATAGTTCGGAACAATTACTCTTTGAGATATTGCCAGTTCTGATCCCAATTATCTTGTAATGCAGAAGTCGCTTCAAGATCAATGAGAACTTTCTCAACCAAAGTTTGCCGAGCTTTACAGAGTTCCGGCAATTTTCCGGTGTTCACCATTTGTTGGACATATACGTAAAAAGCTTCTTCCTTAGACATGTGTGTGTCTGTGTCATTCAACAAGCAATATCTCCAATGAGGATGAACACGGAATTGTTTGGAAGAGATCCAATCTTGTTTAACTCGGGAATAATCATAATGTCTCTCCCTACGTCGAATTCTGTAGTCATCATTATCAGCAACAGCTAATCCGATTCTTAAATAGAAAAAAACAAATGAACGAATACGTATAATAGGATATACATGAAATTGGCTCCGTTAATACACTCCGAATAATAATTATTCGTCTGCGGATAAACCCTAAGAAGATTTTCCGTCGCGAATAGAACATCGAGTTGCTGTTCCTCAGAATTATCACAATCAAAGATCATTTTCCTTGTCTGAAACAAAATAATAGTTCAAAAGCGACAAGGAATCTCTGAAGAAAAGAAAATTTCGAACTGAACTATCTATGGTGTCAAGATGTCAAAGTATTGTTTCAAGAAAATAGATAGTTCACTTCTTCACACCAGACAATAAGATTTACGAAAGCAACCTGAGATTAGGTTAAGAAGCATGAAAAGGTTAGGTGAAAAAAGAAAAAAACATAGCATAGAAGCAGGGTATAATAGCCAAGCATGAGTATGATGTATGCTATTGCTCTTCGGCAAAGAACAATTTCATACGTTTCATACGGTCAGTGGCATGCGCATGCATAAACAACAAAATTTCCTAACTCAACATATGGAGTCAGCATGTTGTAAGGTTAGAAACAGGCATTTAATTCGAAAACAACAACTTTTTTTAGCTGTATGTTGACCAATTAGCTGCCTTATTTACAGAATTTAACATTCTGTGAGGTTATAGAGGATAGCTACCAACAACAATAAGCACGAAGATACAGATGAATAGCATTATGAAGTATTACAAGATTTCGAATTTCTGCCACACATTCTGAATAAGATCCGTGTTCGCAATTGAAATTAGCCGATGCGTCTCCAATCATAGATTGTGCCATACGAATCTGTATTTTTAACCATACTTATATAATCAAGATTGAAACTCTAGTAGAAGGAATGAGACTCCTTCTCATTCATTGAAGGTGTTTGTATATGAATCGCGTAGAAAATAGGATATGATATATGAAAAGAGCTTGTAAAGTGCTATGGAAGTTGATAGAAGACGTTAAGACAAAAGGAGGGAGAAGATAAGCATTAGGTTTAGGGGATCAGTCGGGAGTATACCACAACTCTGCAGTTAGAAGAAGAAGCTATTGTAATCAAAGGGATGATGTTCAAAGCCACTCGATAAGTGCAAAACATGACTAAGGGTAGTAACGAACTGCAAATCTTTTACTCTTGAAAAGAGTATCGTTTGAGTTTCATGGTATCAACACTCATCAATTCGTGATAGTTATGATGGTTATAACACACAATAGTGTATGACGCTTGTTTGAGTCGAAGAAAAAAAAACCACAAAGAGAGAGAGAGTTTACCTGTTGCGACTGTTGAACTTCTAACTCAAGAACATCCATGTTATTATAGTTCTGTTTATGGAGTTTCGTTATAGGATCCTGGAATGAACTACATACGAAACAGTAAGTTAAGTAGAATCTTACAATCGCTCGTAACTGTGGATGCAAGATGATAAAGCCATTCTGATCCAACATGAAGAAGTAACTTCGTGATCCAACCTGAAGAAAAAGATAATGAAATGACCTAATAGAGATCTTTTAATTTACATTTGAAGGATGAGCTAATTGGTTTAACTCCGTTAATGGAATATTAACTGCAGCCACTCCCATAAAAGTCTCATTTACAATTACAGGATATGAGACTGTTGTAACAAACATTCTTGACCGAGCTTCTGTCTTTTGGAGACGAATTTTCTGAAAGCAGAATGTTTGAATTGAAAACCCTCCATTACATACTCTTCTGGCAGCCATTTTATTCATAACAGCAAAGGATTGATTTGTTATAGGAACAGGTTCAGCAAATGTTTCCGGACGAGGTATATACTAAAGGTATTAAATAAATAATTTTAATTAAATTGAAATTCGTTTACCAGCCGTTCACGATAAACACCACTCCACATAGCTCCATCAGCTCCAATATCTGCTGCATGTTTACCAATTGGACGTGACATCGTTCTTATGTAATGCTGAATGTTGTAATTTACCAATTGAACAGCATGAAAGAGGAATAACCTGTACTTTCTCCTCAACATCTGCCATATTCTGAACATGAACCATATATCCTCTATTATAACAAGCCATTTGTTTGACTTGTTCGAAATCAATAGCTTCTTCCCCGATTAGGAAAGAGAAAAATCGAACCTGAAGTAATTATGATGAAAAATGAAAACTCATAGATCATTCGGAATCAACCGACATGTCATGCTGTTTTTCTCAAAAATGACGGATTGATTCTTCACGTGAACCACGTGAAGCTTTTATGCTAATGAAGGTAATCATAAATAGGCACTCACTTTCTTATCATTATTATACAAATCGAAAATTTCTTTATAAGCATTCGGAGCTCCATCAGTTATTAACATAATTACATTTTCACAGCCCTGAGCTGGCGCTTTACGCCCAGCTGATGTTATCTAAAATAGCATTAGAAATTAAAGAATTTTTATGTATTTTCTGATGAAATAACATCTAGAATGCAATTTCATTCATTAAAATTAGAGATAGAAGGTAGAAGAACGGAAGAATGTCACATCAATCTCGAAATATGAAGATTCTTCATAGAAATTGGTTCTTTTCGTTTCTCATTCAGCACAAACAACAGTTAGGTGAAAACCGAAGTAGTTAGTTGAGTTAAAGTTTAACGAATCCTTTCCCGGAGGAACTGTTTTTTTCTTTTCAATATTATAATGAAGAATAATCTCATTACTATTCTTCATTATAGGGCATTTGCATATAAAAGGAAATAGCGGATGAACACACACAAACAGAGGCACACATAGAGGTATAACACTTAGAGCACAAGCATTCTAACAGACTAGCAAAATCATACACAAAGCATCAAACTTACGGCTCTATCGTATTCGTGATCATAAACGAGAAAATGCTCTGGCAATTCCGTTATCTGCTTTCCTTCCATAACGGATGAGTTTTGAAGAAGAACAGCAAATTCCTCTTTGCTGTAGATTGTCCATCGTTTCGGCAACTGTTACAGATATTCTTCAGAAAGACATTGGACTTCACAACTTCATCACATCTCATCAAAGATAATGATTCCATTGTATATACAAAACATTGACTTTTAAGCATTGATTATGTCAACTTGACAAAAAGCTGTTCAATTTAAGCAAAGCAACAGAGGTAAGCGATATAAACATAAAATGAAATTAGCTGGACATTATTAAGCTTAAGCTTCTATGCCTAGAATAAGCGCTCACGGAATGTTGAGAACCTCATACATTAAGCATTTAAAAACACATAAAAGCTGTTATTCTAAAAAATTTACAAGTAAGCCATTCGTTCCTTATTTCTCGAATAATTTTTCAATATTTCCCCCCAATACTCATCTATAAGTTTGTTATATTCCTGTTCTCCATTTTAAATCTTAATAAACTTCAAAACTCACATTCAGAAGAGTTGTGAAAGCATGAGGCAAAGCTCTTTCATATTCAGCTTTTCCTTCACTTGAAACGTTGTTCATTTTGTTTCTCAAAGCCTATAAGAAGCTAATGAGATGAATCAAGCTTTTGCGATCAGTACCTTCTTATTCCTCATTGTTGCTTGCAATAATCCATTCTCTCCATTACAGTCATCCAAGAAGAAAGGTGTCTTAGAAAACTGTAAAGAGGATTTGAAATAGTAAACGAGGGGTATTATCTCACCGGCATGATATTGAAATAATCGTTGTGAGATAACGTTTCTAATATGGCTTCAGTTGTCTGCTTGGCTATTTCATAACGTTGGCCTAACATAGATCCCGATAAATCCAACATAATCAGAACATTTTTGGAGTTGGTGGCAGCATTGATATACCTTGAGAGGGAGAAATTCATTTTTAAATTTGATCTCAATAGAACGAACCATTCAGTATTTCTACAATCAAACAAATCGAGATGTTCTATATGATTATCCCAGAACCATGACGCAGCTGTAAAAGAGACGAAGTGATAAGCGGATATATTGCACTAGAAATCAAACTATGTACAACATACCTGGATAGAATCTCATATAGCCACTCTCTGAGCAGAATAGTTGAAAAGCCAAATCTCGAACTTCTTCTCGATGCGTTCGATAGACAGGGTCTATCTCGGACCATTCAATTTTCCGTAAAAGAGTAGGATCTGAATATCTCGTTTAGTGATTGAAAATTAAGATGAAAATGATTACTTCTATCATACAAAGGAGTGGGTATATGAACAGCTGATGCAATGGGTGAAGTGGGTAAACTGTAGAAATTCGCATTTGGCAATAGAGTGAAATTCCTTAAAAAGCATAATCTCAGTACGGAACTACGGTTCAAACAAACCTCGTTTCCATCACTTTCTTTTTCAAGATAATATGAGAATGTTCATATATTGTCGTTCCATCATTACCTTGCTTAGCTGACATAAAACGAATAAAGTCTTTGGAATCCGGGTTATTAACAGCCTCATCAGAGGAGTCTTTCGGATCTCGAGCTTCCAAAGATACTTTAGCTTTCTAAAAATCACAATAATGATGGATCTTGTTAATAAATTTCTTACATATGCAAACTCTGATCGCCTTTTCAGGTATTTCTCAATTACATCTTTACTACGTTTTAATTCCACTCGAGGATCGAATTGTTCTGACTCAACGAACTTTTCATAAAACTGAAACAAGAATATTGAAACACAAAGTTAAGTTTTGCAATCGTTTCCCAATTGATTAGAAATAGTTCGGAATATCTGTAAAGCTAAAAGCCGCTAAGTGTTATTCTGTCAAGATATGAACAAATATCGTTTCAAGAGCAACTAAATAGTTAAGTGCCACTCTCATTCCTACTACTGTAAACCATTCAATACTAATAGATTCTTAAAATTAAAATCAAAATAGAAGTAGAAAGTAAGACAAAACAAAACAAAAAACTGGCAAAGAGGAAATGAGAAAGAAAGAGAGAGTGTGTGGGAGAATGCAACTATTCCGAACGTATAAGACTGTGTTAAACTGAGCGACTGTCGAACAGTTCCACGTGTCTGATCTCATATGCTAATTAGACGTAATGCTCACCTGTGCGATTTTCTGTTCGCCAGTAACCCGTTTAAATGTATCCTGCAGATTCTCACTCAACACCCGTGTGCACTCATCTATGCTTAAATATAAGAAAGGATGAATTAATGAGAAAAGTTATTTTGTATACAAACCTTTCCCTATTAAAAGCGGCTGCTCGAAGCAATAGGGTAATGAATAATATTATATTCAAAAGCATTGAAAATGCTCAACCGACCATTTCATTAAACTAACTATATCAAATAAGTCTGCAAGAGAGTAATAATTAATTAATCAAATTATATCCAAAAGAGAAAATGAGAGAATTCAACAGTTGGTGATAAGTGCAGTCGGCATGGCGCAAACATCAATACTCTTTGAAGTGATGAAGATGAATCAAAAAATAAACAAAGAAATCTTGTGATGAGACTAATGAAATAAATAATTGAGTGAGAAAAGTGAAAGGAGTCTTATATAACGTTATGCATGATAATATTGCGTCAAATCGAAAGAAATCGAGAATCAACATCTCAGTAATTTGAGAACTTCACGTTCAAACTAAGGTAATATTTCTAGCCTATGAGAAATGACAGGGAAACTAACGATTAGATTTCATTTATTGGAACAAATGAGAATGAAAAAGCAAACGTAAAGAACAAAAATATTGACGGTACTGTTCTTTAGTCAGGCTCGGTTAGTTCTTGTTGTGGGTAACTGACTCTTGATGAAACCGGCTAGATGTGTAGTACTGCCTTCTCGATTGCGAGCCTGATCCTCTTCTCCAGTAGGATTCTAACTGCTTTTCGTAGGCATTTTGTACGGAATGTAGAATGACTATGAAACATGAACGAGGTGAAGAGAAAACAAATGAAAATTGTTACTTTTCTATGTGAACAGAAGGTGGAAAAGATGCGAAAAGTTAAGTGTTTGCAGGAGATTCCAGAGATTACTGGACAAAATGTTAATTCTAATGAATTGATTGGAAAAAAGAAAAGAAAATCAATGAACTATGATGGCGATTGTCTTTTCTCAAGCTTTCATAGCCCTCTCTTTTCTTGCTTTTCGTTCATTTTCTATATCTCTGGGAAAACGATTCCATGAATAGTCGATTTCAACGTATTTGGTAACAACACAAAGCTTTTCAACACATAGAGCTCTTCCAGCCCATGTCATGTTCTTTTTACGGAAGAATAAGTAACAATATGAAGAATGAAAAGATAACATTAGAGTATTTCACGTATAAAACCAAATAAAGCCCTGATAGAAGTACTAGAAGCTGTAAGCTAATGTAAGCGATTTGGGATACAAACTAAGAGAAAAGGAGAGAAAGCTTATTACAACACATCTACTACCACACTCATTGCACATTCTGATTGAATTGTCCATATAACACATTCTGATATGTAACTGGAGGGGAGAAAAAGTAAATCAACAAGTACAGACAAGAGAAGAACGACTTCACGATATTCCAGATATTATTATGATTTAAAAATATATTCAAATTATGTTGTAAAATATCATTTGAAGAAAAGGAAGAAGCTGATGAGAATGGCTTGATATTCGACACAGATTATAAGGAATCAAAGTAAATTTTAGAAAATGAAAAAGCTGAAACCTGCAACTGCCAGAAGTAACAGAAATGAGAGTCAAAGTAGTTCGAAGCATGTCCATTAGCTTTCACAAGTTGTCAAGATGGTTTAAAAGCTCAATAAACTAATGAAATACTATGAGATTTTAATGAACAAAACGGCGATAAGTTGAATATCTGGCACATTCTTGGAAGATTCTTTTTATTTTTTGTTAATAATTTGAGAAAAATGATTATTTGAAAGAAAATATCAATCTAAGATCTTGTATAAGTCGATAGTATTAGACGAGTAGAGCTTGGGAAACCAAGACAAGGGAGGAGAGAAACAAAAGAACAAATCGATTCAGCTTGGGTCTAACGGATGGAAACTTAGTCAAACGCTCATCAAAAAGCAAAATAACTCGAAGGTAATCGAATAAATATCATTTCGTATTAATGACCATCAGACTCATGAGAATGGAAGGTGAAGAAAAGAAGAAAAAATTGTCTGACTAATGTAATTCTATTGAGAATTGGATACTCTCCAAATTGGAAATTACTATGAATAGCTTGAGGTCAAAGAATGGCATTAAGATCGCAAAGAGCATGAATATATAGCTCAGAGCGAAAATTTTCATTCACTGAACATTCTAATTTGAATAAGAAAATTACAAAAAAATATGTTGGTGGTTCTGTTGAATGAATCTCATTTAAGTTTGTGGGGAGCTTAGAAGGCATTTCGACAACTAAACCTCAAAGATAAGAAAAACTTAAAAGAAAAAAGTTGATCGATTTCAATAAGAAAAGCTAAGTATTAGTCCGAGTAGGGTACGGAGAGGGTTCAGTTTGACAAAGAAGAAAACGAAGAAGAAGCAGCAGCAGCAATAGAATAAGAGGAAGACGAAAGGGGGGAGATGAAAAGAAGGACTCTGGCTAGCCTGCTGGTCGGTTGGTTGCTGTAGGCGCCAGGAGGGAAAAGCCGATGTAGAGGGAGACGGGGAATCGATATGAGACTGAGGCATGAAGGGACTGCTATGGCTGGCTGAGAGGAGAAGAGAGTAAATCGAGATGCAGAACACTAGCAACTGGAGTCTCATAAAGAGAAAAAGTGGCAAAGGAAAAGATTAAGGTAAAACTGAAGAGATGGGAGATAGAGCGAGATAAAGGATTGTGGATACTAGAAAGAGAGATAAAGAGAAAGAGAGACAATGTACTAGCGCGAGCGAGATAGAGAGCAAAAGAGAAACGTTTGAGAGTTTAAAGAAAAAAATTGTAAAAACTGTGAGAAGTAAATAGCAATAAAGGTTGACAAGAAAATTCATTCAAACAGTAATATGATGAACAACAGAAAGCTCGATATTGACGAAAATACTGCAATCTCTCTCTCTCGAGATATAAGTCTCAACTAATCTAACATAACAAACAAATCTTTTTTTTTAGATTAAACAAATGTACTTTTCATAAAATATAATTTTGAGCAATTTATAATAAACTTAGATGCATCTCAATGACAAAAGAAAACGAAGAGAGAGAGAGGAATCTACACTCACATACACACACACACACACAGAAGATGAAAAAAAAAACTGTTTGGGAAGCTCTTCAGAAAACTATCGTTCCAGTAAGTGTTCTCAGGCTATACGAGAAAACTAACAGATTTAACTCATTTATGGATTAGTTTCCTTTCAAAAGCTCAAATATAACTGCTAAAAGTGAAAGAACAAAACTCTGCTCATCGTAATGTTCAAAAAATGATGGATTGGTAGAAATCGATAGATTAAAAGCTTAAAAAATAATTTTTTTTAACCTTAGTTACATCGAGAGGTCTGTGATCAAGAGACAAGACGATCATGCAGATGAAGAAGAAGAAGAAGAAATATAGAGAGAACATAAGAATATCTTTGACTTCTTCTTCTTCTTCTCTTGTTTTCATAAAATGTTATTGGTTCTTTAATAAACAATAAGTTTCTGTTTTGAATATTTTTTTGTTGCTTTTTAAAGAGCATTAACGTTTAAACTAGGTGATGTGACCTGAAACAAACAATATATTATTTATTATTATGTTTTTGATTTCAAATTTCGCGCCTTTATTCTATTTTTTAAAATTTAATAATTAGAATATGTGATGGTATGCGTACTATACCATCTCCTCTTAATCGTTGTTCGAATTCATTTATAGATGTTGACGTATAGAGAACGGTCGTGCATATACTTTTCGCGGTGATCTTTTATTTTTTTTTGAAGAATCCTCTTTTCTATACAAAAAAAATAAATATAAAGTAAATGAAAGTAAAAGAATTTATTAATAGACAATTAAACGCTTCAAATACATAGTTATATATGTTATCTACTTTTTAGCTTCAGGACATTTGTAATAGAGCTGTATCCCAGTAGCGGCTGCTACTCCTCTGTTCGAACCAAGAGCGTATGTCCAAAACAAAGTTGGAACTCCGGAAGTTGAAAGGAAAAGCAAAAAAAAAAGAGAATGAAAGTAAGCTATAGACTTTTCCACAAAAGGCTGTCCATCCACCCGGATAACATCTTTTAGTTGCTATATTTTGAGATTGGCGCATACAACAAATATTTCGTATGAATGAGTTTTCCTTTCTTTCATTCTTTACTTTTCTACATAGATGTACTTGTTTACAAAGATGTTGTGATACAATTCATGTAATGAAACAGTAAGCTTGCTAAGAAACTTTTTCTTTCATTCAATTTAATTTATATAAATTGGATAAGAAACAAACAACAGCAAATGGCAGGCAAAGGAAATGAACGATTTACGAAATTAGTTAGAAAATCTAATGGAAAGTTAAATGGTCTTGACACTCTGCACATCTATAAACTCAACATTCAGATATTACCTCAACTTATTGACAACACTTCAAGTTGGAAAAATGTTTTTTACCATAGTCATTCTAAATAAAATTGTGAGAAAGAGGAAAGAGAGAGGAGAACGTCACAATAAAAAATAAATTTTTATTATTTTTACGTTAGCAAATGGCATATAAGAGCATAGAGAGTATAATACAAATAGCAATGCAGTTACAAGAAGTTCTGAAAATCAAAGACATATGGCTTAAGCAAAGCATTTATTCTGGGTGTAATAGAGAGACAGAGAGACAGAGAAAGAAAGAGAGAGAGAGAGAGAGAGAGAGAGAGAGAGAGAGAGAGAGAGAGAGAGAGAGAGAGAGAGAGAGAGAGGGG